CTGGACCGTAGTCCGCTCCCTATTGAGTGCACGGAATCACTCTTTGGGCCTAGCATGGCCACAAGGACCGTGCACCCCGTCCCCTCCAGCAACGACCAACTGTCTCCTGTAGCCAGTATGAACGAGGTAGTGGGTACTAGACAGGTAGGCAGGTTGTCAGCATGCAGATCAAGCGCAGCCACTCCGGGAATATCAAGCAACTGACAATCACTTGAAGTGATGATATCAAAGAAATCGGATACTGCATACAGATACAGTGATTTCAATAAATGAGCATATGAAATAACTTGGGTGTCAAAATTCCGCAATAATTTCAAGACGGCAGAAAATATATTTTAAGGAAATGTTACGCATGCGAAAATGTTATCAGAGTTGACTAAACTAGTTTAAGGGACGTGTGCAAGTTTATAGAAGATAGTTCATATAGATAACAATATGAGGTGAAAAAGCATTAGGATAATATAGCAAACCCACCACCTGAAATAAAGAGATTCAGCATACAAGCACGCGGTTAGTGAATCGAATGCAGCGTACTTACAAACGCTGTGTCGCTTCTGACTACGTTCTTTGTAGCACTCTTCGTCGTTTCGGTATCGGCCACGAGTAACGTCGCTCATGGCTCACTAGGCCTGCCTGACTCAGGCACTCGTGACCGCATGTGCTACAGTACCACGCACTCGGTGTCTATGGAGTACGACCCATCGGCTCCTACCGCTTCTGCAATTGGCGCTTCTTCTGTGCATGCACGAGGGATTTCTCTTGCATCGCGGCAACAGCCTTCGTGATCAGATCGCGCCATGCACGCCGATCAACCGCCTTCGATTCCCATGATCTGAAATCAAGAGTAGAACGTGAGAGGCTCACCTTGATCATGTCCTGGTAACGAAGCTTCTATTTCTCCACGTACCGCTTCCCAGTGCTTAGCTGACCTAATAATAGCTACTTTGGTATCCGCGTCGAATCCACACGCTACACATGACCGAGCCAACTCAGGTGTCTCAGCAAAAGTACTCAGTCCACTGCATATATTCCACTACGGCGCAACACTTCGTTGTCCCAAACCCTGTCGCACCAAGCAATGCGCAGTATCCGCCGCAGACAATGTTGATGGAACCGCTCGGCATATCTCACATCCCGCCGGCACATAGTCTATTTTTCGTTACGTATAGAAGAACAGACAGCACCGTGGATTTGTACACCATCAGCTTTGCGCCAATAGTAAGCTGATGGTTGTTCCACACTCGGTACTCTAGTTTCCCGAACGCCGAAGCTGCCTTCGATACGCGGATACGAAGCTGCTGATCAGTCGATATTACACTCCCAAAGTAGCAGAAACGGGAGGTGGTTTCTAATACTTCAGCACCAATGCTGATTCGCAGCACCATTGTAAATTGCATCTCCGGTGAAGGCTGAAGGAGAGACAGTTTCGCTCATGTTGATGGTGAGCCCGAATTTGGCCGTTGTCAAAGCCAGAGCACTAGTCATGTGTTACAATTTATCCGCGCTGTGTGCAAACAAAGCACAGTCGTCAGCGAACAGCAACATACGGATAGTTGTCTCACAGAGTAGAGTTCTCGCACCGAAACGACGGATGTTCAGCAACCCACCATCAAAACGGTGCTCCACACGAACACCATAATCACAAGCTGCATCAAATGCACATCATTGGATGAAGATGAATATTAAACAGGGCAAAAGCGAAGATACAACCTTGCTTCATACCAGAGATAACGGCAAAGTCATCCGAGGCCTCTCCACTCAGCTGCACCCACGCCCGCATAACACTGTGCAGACATTCAATTAAACTTTCAAACTTAATCGGACAACCAAACTTACCCAACACCAGCCACAATGCCTCGCGGTTCACCGTATCAAACACCTTGGTGAAATCAACAAAAAGCGGGTACAACGGCTGGTACCACTTTCTGCACTTCTCCTACAACTGACGAGCCGCAACTACCATATCTGTGGTGCTACGATCCGAACGGAATCCACATTGGTCTTCCGCCACGTTCGCTTCCACAACCTGACTGACAAGGCGGTTGAGCAGGATTCGGGCAATCACCTTGCCCGCACAACTCAGCAAGTTGATGCCACGATATTTCGTGCAACGTTGCTTGCTACCTTTGCCTTTGTACAGTGGTAGCACAAGGGCATCTTTCAGCTCAGGAGGCATCTAATCCTCAATCCATACGCGTTGCACCAAGTGGTGCAGCGCATTTACCAACGCGGGTCCGCCGTGTTTTAATACTTCAGGCAGGATCCCGTCGGAATCGACACACTTGGCTTTTTGCAGGTGAGCAAGTGCTCTCTGCGTCTCATCCAGTGTCAGCTTATCCGCCCGACTCGCCTTCACGGGCTGTTTGAAGCCGTTCAATGTAGGCCAGTCAATCTGTAAACGGTTGTTCAAGAGACAGTCAAAGTGCTTTTGTCAGATCTGCATTATATCTGCAGTCTGTGTACCGGTGGCTCCTGAGCTACCATCGATCAGCGTCCTCAGCGGCCCCCACCCCGGTCCATACCCCGCCTTCAAGGAGTTAAATAATTCCTTGTGTTGGCGGCGTTCGGCGTAGCACTTCATCTGCTTCGCCTTCTCCGTCCACCATGCAATTTTTATGCGACGGAACTCTCGGGTCAGTCTCCGTCGAAGTTTTCGAAACTGACTATTCTTCTCCAAGTCACTGGGGTCTGCCACATGTGCAGCAAATGCTACATTTTCTCCGACTCCAATGCGCCAATTGTCGCATTGTTCTCATCAAACCAATCAGGCCGGTTGCATTTTGCGTTCCCGATGGTCTCCTCGGCAGCAGCTGTCATCTGGTCGTGAATGTGGTGCCACAGGTCGCCCACTGTACTGCGCAGTCCACATCACACAGGCAGGCAGCCATCGCCTTCTCCAGCTCAATACGTTTCGCCACAGTACCGAGGGAGAGAATGTTAAATTTCCGCCGGTTCACGGCAGGAGTGCAATACATAGATTTACGAAAATATATGTACAGTTTGGTTCGCACCAATTTGTGCTCAGTGCCACACTCAGCTCCACGCATTACACATGCCATGCGCGCTTCACGCATATCACCCTGACGTACGATGACATGTCGAGCAGGTGAGCCTGACCACTCCGTGGGTGCGTCCAAATTGCTATATCACTCGCACTCAGTGCAAACCGTGTGTTTGTTATCGTTAGGCCGTGAGTGGCACACAGTGAGAGCAGCCGGCCACCGCTCGCATTCGCTGAACCAATGTCATGCGGACCCACGACATCTGTTCACACCGATGCATCACACCCAAGGCGGGCGTTGAAATCACCCATCAGAATTAGTCGGTAGCACCTCGGCACAGACCGTATCACGGAGGATAGCTGCGTGTAGTATTGATCACGCGTGTCATCAGCATAACACACGGTCGGACCGTACGTGCTTATAAAAGTGGCAAACTTACCTCTTCCGAGTCGTATGCGAACAGTCATCAGTCGCGCACCGATAGCAGTTGGTTCACCCACCTGTTGTGCATTTAGGCGATCAGATATTGCAAATCCGACCCAAGTTCACGTGGTGCTGGGTGGCGCTGCCCACCCAGTAGAACCATTAGTTAGCAATTGCTTCATGCAACTTACCTTGCTAAGCGATCCGAGTTTCACTAAGTGCAGCAATATCGATGTGGTAAGGCGCCAACTCCATCGCAACCAGTGCAGTGCATCGTTTGTGATGCTCACTGGAGTTCCGGTCCAGTAGTGTGCGCCCGTTCCGGCACCCGATGCTGAGTTCTTTGCGCGCAAGCATACGATTGCATTGATGGGCAATCGCACGCGAGGTGGCGGTTGTGCTTCGGAGCTTTGCTTGAGGGACTCCACCCGGAGCCTTTGACTCAATAGCCTGACCCACAATGCAGTGGGTAGCAGATCTAGCTCGGGAATGTGATTGGACAGTCAGAGTGAGATCTGCTTGAGGTCCGTCACACGCACCCTTTGGAGATCTGGAACAATGCATATATGTTTTTCGACCGTAGTATGATACGCACCTGCGACCACGGCCAGACTCAGGTGGGATTTGGCAGGTTTGCACAAATTTGAACAGGGGCTTCCGGGCTTGAGACGGGCAGTAGCAAACAATTGAGCACCCGGAGATGCCCTCCCACCGTCAGAAACAATGCGTGGCGCTCCTGCTCTACGCCAATCGAGGTATGAGCTTATAACCCGTAGACCGGTTGTTTCCCATGGCTAAGTTTTACGGGAAGAGGGCCATCGACCACTTCTTAACCTCCGAAAAAGATGGACTGGGGTACTGGCGGGACGTCCACACCTGACAGGAGAACGACTCGGGTCCTCAGCCAAAACCTTCGATTAAACTTACGCCCGAAAGGTAGTGGGTCTAGCACATGGTCAGTTCACTGACTCATGGGATTGGTGTCCTGGATCTTAGCAAGGAGAAGGGCGAAACCCAACTCCCACCCAGCTAATGGCGTAACAGTAGCAGCAGTGGCTAGGTCATCTGTCAGGATCTAGCCACCACCAACCTCAGCGTACCATAGGCTCTCCCGCTATATATATATATATATATATATATATATATATATATATATATATATATATATATATATATATATATATATATATATGGTTGGCGGCATCCGGTTTCGGATTTGCCTGTCACTGTGGCCAGTCACAGGACGCATGCGCCTACAGAGGGATCATGGGTTGCTTACGCTGCACCACCCACAGTTCCAACCACACACCCCAAATCCAGTGTAAACCCGAAGAAATAAGACCGGTAGGCATGTGGATGGGAGCCACAATTCATCAACGGAGCCGGCTCAGACTCCTTCACAGGCAAACACAAGCACGCTGTATTTGGGGAATCAAGTGCACACGAGGCGGTGGCTGGACCGTAGTCCGCTCCCTAGTGAGTGCACGGAATCACTCTTTGGGCCTAGCATGGCCACAAGGACCGTGCACCCCGTCCCCTCCAGCAACGTAACCCCAACTGATCACCATACTTCCATCACATCCACTTCTCTCTATATTTACACACAATACCCATTACTTCTATTTTCCAATAACTCCACTCCTCCCCCCACCCCCCCCCCCCCCCACTCCCCCCCACCCCCCCCCCCCCCCCCCCCCACCCCCCCCCCCCCCCCCCCCCCCCCCCCCCCCCCCCCCCCCCCCCCCCCCCCCCCCCCCCCCCCCCCCCCACCCCCCCCCCACCCCCCCCCCCACCCACCCCACCCACACCACCCCCCCCCCCCCCAACCCCCCCACACCACCCCCCAAACCCCCCCCAACCAACACCCACCCCCCCCCACCCCCCCCCCACCCACCCACACCCCCACCCACACCACCCACCCCACCCCCCAAACAACCCCCAACAACCCCCCCCCCCCCCCCACAACCCCCCACCCAAACACCCCCCACAACCCCCCACCACCACACCCAAACCCACCAACCACCACCCCCCCACCCCCACCACCACCCCCACCCACCCCCCCCCCCCCCCCCCCCCCCCCCCCCCCCCCCCCCCCCCCCCCCCCCAACAACACCCCCCCCCCCCCCCACCCCCCACCCCCCCCCACACCCCCCCCCCCCCCCCCCCCCCCCCCCCACCCCACCCCCCACACACAACACAACACACAATAATATCACACACACAAACACCCCCCATAACCCACATAATACTCCCCCCCCACCCCCCACCACCCGATCCATCACCACCCCCCTCAAACCCAACTCCCCCCCCCCCACCTCCCCCCAACACTACTAGCACAAAATATTACTAACATTCTACCCTCTCCTATATACATTCCCCCCCTCCAACACACTAAATAACCTAAGATACCCCCGAATGACCCCCACACCCCATTCCCCCCCTATAGAGATAGAACCCACACACCCCCCCTCCGTCCTACCCCCGCCGCGACAGTATCTTACCCCTATTCGCACCCCCCCCTACACACACTCTCGAATTTTAGTCCCCCCCCGCCTAGCCTCCCCAAGTGTGTGCCTATATGAGATTAGAAGGAGGATCCCCCCCCCCCCCCCCCCCCCCCCCCCCCCCCCCCTCCCCCCCCCCCCCCCCCCCCCCCCACCCCCCCGATATAGCCACCCCCCCCCCAACCCCAACCCACCCAACCCCCCCCCCCCCCCTCCCCCTCCCACTCTATCCCACATTCGGACATTCACTGTCTCGCTATCCCTCGATAGGCATGAAAGAGTGAGCGTTTGGCCACTGGATTCCATCATTTGTGCCCCGACTGTCTTGTTTCTCAAGTGTTCGACAGACGACATCTCAGTCTCGTGTCTGGTCCAGTGATATTGTGCTATCTGGGTTGTCCGACCTTTCCGCATTTTGTCTGGTTTGACCACTATTCGACCGATGTCCATGTCTCCGACCAGTTTATGTCTGGCATCCATTTACCGCCCTGCGATCTGAAGTGTATAACAGTGTCGGTTTGGAACACATTGGATGACACGCTTATGATTGTGCTTTGTGTATCAATGAGCAATTTAGAATTTCCTAGGTGATTGAAACCGTAGTAAGGTCGCTTTTTTCATTGTAATAAAACTCCGAGAATATTCTTACGTCAGAGTACCTGCGTTTATTGGCGCCATTCATGTTAACCACACGTGCGCAGTACCAGTCCTCGTCATTAGACTCTGCTTCTGCACTATCGGTGCTCTAAAATCGAACGAACTCAACGGCAATTGTGTTTCTCTCACCCAATATAAACTTTAGCTTTGGCTGCGTCGCGTGCCGAACTTTCGTCAGCCGCCTAAGTGTCATCGTAAAGCTACGGCAACGTTGCGTTGCTTTGTCGAATATGTCGTCCACCCGCGGACTTCAACCAACTGTCACGCACCACTCAAGCATTTTGCTGTCGTTCTTGGCTCGGTTCCGCCCCCAGAATGGTTCAATAACCCTGAATCTGTTTACCGTTCCTAGTGAAATAATAATTTACACCCGGAATTTGTTGTTTGGTTTCGTTTTACTTCGTTATCCAAATTATTATCACCATGCTGGCATGTCTCACGACCGCACTTCAGTGCTCGGATCTGTTGTTAATGAGTACACTTCAGAGGTAGGTCACTTCTGAAGCAACTTATGAGAACAAATGACGACCATCCTCCTAGGTATCACATCGTTAGGGTTTCAAGCCCCGACGTAACTAGCAGCGTTATTCGCCCGGGATTCACAACCTGTGGGTTCCGCATATGAGGTGTTAAACAACTGCACGGCGGACACTGTTCTACCTGTGGACGGGGCTGCGATGGATTCTAGCACTGCGTTTGACTCTTGAGTAGACTGTTAAACCAGATCAACCTATTGTTTCGTCGTTAGGCATTACCCTTCGCCAAACTAGAACAGCAATCACGACTGTATGCCCTAGGTCATCATTAACGCAGCAGAAGTAAGAAGATATGATGTTGATATGAAATAGTCGGTGCTAGAATCACGCCAGGACTTTGTGTCGAGTGCGAGACAAGTGACACTACTCAATCGACGGTGCACAATTCCCTCGGAATTTTTATGCTGCTTTGACGAAGGAATATTGTTATTCGATCGCGATAATAGCTTGAGATATTTTGGACAGGTGACGTAGTCCTCTTTCCAGAAGAATAGATTCATTTAGCTTAATGGTATCGAGAACTTTCCGTATTTTACATGCGAGCAACGTTAGTAATGTTTACCCAGTGAGCGTGTTTTGATTCTTGGTGATCTCTGGAGTCTCAACCCTGGTTGTGATCATCTACTTGAGCGCAACTTATTAGAGTTACAACAAGCTTAACCGGATACCTTGTGACTACATGACAATTTTTGTGGGCTGAATAGACAACAGCTGACAACATTTAACATGTCTCGCTGTAACATTGAGCTAAGTGAAATACTTTCCCAGAAGCACCGGTCAAACTGTCATATCCTTGCCTGGGAAGGGAGCAGTGAAAACCCATGCATTTGAAAGAAACACGGAATATCACAAAAGATTCTTTACAAGACAGCAGCGAAAAGCGACATGTCACTGAAATAGATAGGTTTCGGAGATAAAATCGCAATGCCACTGGAACTTAACATGATGCGGCAGGTTGCGTACCTCTTCGACCCATTGAGCTATATTGGATTGTGTCCTCGGGCCCCTTGAGACCTACTCCTAAAAGTCTGGTGGTTGATTGGAGTTCCGAAAAACTTTCTCTCCCCATCTTGAGGTTTGGAAATGGGATGGCGTCCATTCCTGTAAAACGGAATTGTTTTTACCTCCCAACTGCTTTGCGAGTGAGATTTTGAGACCAAGACCTTGGTTGAGGACACTTTCTTCTTTGTAGGTCTGGGCACCTTGGCAGTATCTCAGCTCAGCTTATCAAGGGTCGCCTTATCTACTGCACGCAGCAGAGCGGATAAGCGAGACTATGCTACTGCCAATGCCTCCCTACTTTCTTATCTAGCTGTTTCTTGTACTTCTCTCCTGCACCACCCACTGGACAGGTTCAGCAGCACCCCCTTCTTAGGCTACACTGTCCAGTTACCCTGAGGGCGTTCAACGTTCGCACTCTAAGCCAAATAGGTCAACAGACTGCATTCGCACGCAGGTTAGACTCACGGTATCGACGTATTTCGTGACCGAAACTAGGATCACTGACCCTCACGTAGTTGTTGAATTAACTGCGCTCGACTTTTCCTCTCGCTTTTGGTTACACGCATCCGGAGCTACTGATGCAGCAACCACTGGTCAAGCTGGAATGAGCATTGTTCTCAGCTCCAAGTCTTGCTCATCGCTTTGTTCTTGAGCAGCTATTTGTGTGCAGTCTGTTTGATGACATCAACTAGAGTCGATTCGCGATATGTTAATGGAAACTGCTTGTTTGTGTTTTCCGTTTATACCCCCACCGACTGCAGTTCTTATCCTGCCAAGGACACCTTCTACCACGAACTGAACACGCCTCTTCACTGTGTTACCAGTTCGGATATCGTTGTTTCTGCATATTATTTATATATAATATATAATATATAATATAATTATAATATATATGTATTAATACACAAGTAACTCGTCTCAGCTCTTCAGAAGCTTAGCTAGGTGGTAAGTATGGACTTAACTCCGACCGTACGGTCAACGACGAACGTCTGAATAATGAGAATCGTGAGTGCGAAGAAAAATATCGGTGTTGCTCCATCGTAGATGGATCGGTCACATGCGCGGAATCTCCTCGATAATTCCTTCGCGGCGGCAGCATATTGCGGCTGCACTGCATCTTATCCGGGTGCTATACGCTTCCTATACCTGTAGTCCGCAAAGTGGGCATCGAGAAATCTCTTAAATTCCGACACCGATTTTGCCTCGACCACTGTCTCAGGCAGCTTGTTCCAATGTTTCACCACTTGACACTCGAAGCCTAGTACTTGAACGATGCGCTTTAAATCCGATACTACTAGCTTTTACCGGTGTCCGCGTGTGCTGCTTGATGCGCGAACGTGCAGCAGCGGCCTCAACATAGCGAAGTGGCCCAGGTGCAATATGCGGTGCGTCATTATGGGGTCAACTCGAAGCCGACGATATGACAGGATATAAAGCCCTAATCTCTTACGTCGGTCCTCCTACGACATACCCCGTAAACTGGGGATGAGCCAGGTATCTACATGTTGAACCCATTCCAGTCTACGCATCTCATTTATTGTGATCGGTCAATGGACGGTGAGCCGTACTCAAGCACCGGTCTCATCATGGACGAGAACAGATGGGTGGGAATTTCTTCAGATCAAGTGCAGAAGCTGCGTCTAAGTGCCTTAAGCAGCCGTAGTCCGTTTACGTACAGTCTATTCGTGTTGTCGGCTGACTTCAGATCACAGCGTAAGAGTGTGCCTAGATCCTTTACTGTGCTGGTGGGATGCAGCGAGTGGTCGGCCAGGGTATACGCACGACCATTACCACCCTTCCCCAGGCTCATATACGAGAACTTGGCCGGGTTGCATGTTCGCAAGGAACACCGTTTGTTTCGTAGTAGCAGCGCTTTTAGGCATAGTGGGTGCCGGAGTGTCACTTGACGTTCCTCTATAGCTGGCTGGCGATGGACCCAAATAGATCACGTTACCGTTGGTTAAAGATGGCGTGGTTCCATCCTGGGTTGTCGCTCGTTCTGGAGTACTTGCGTCGACTCCTAGCATGCTTTGGCCGCCTGTTGTTTTTAGGTTAACTTTACCAATTGACGTGCCAACCTGCTCTCTCTCTTGGCAACTGCGATCTTACCGCAGTCCGCGGTCAGGCAAGCCTACTGGGATGACCTGTTTACCGAACTTTCGTTCTCTCGTCCTAAGGACACTGTGCTTCAGAGAAATAGCATCTCGGCCACCGTTCAAGACGCGGGAGCCTCTGCTTGCGGCACTATCAATCATAATCGCACCAGTCACTGGAAATCCGAGAGGTCGGTGGACCTGTTGAAATCGATATGGAAACTCCCAGTTGGCTCTGAGCACAATGTTACCAGCAGACTAGTAGGCGCGAACTAAAGCGCAGCCTGCGTGCCAACTAGGAGGGCCCAATAAATGGAGAAGGCGGTAGTATTGGTCAATTATCGCAAGCTCTTCCAGCTAATCCGCATCACGGGTGTCAGTGAGACAATCAAAGATAGCGCCAGTGCCTTGCTTCACAGTAAGTAGCGCCGTTTTGCTCGCTGGGCTGAACACTTTTGAGGGCTGTTCAATTGGCTTTCTGCTCAGGTAGTGCAGGGTGAACCATGGCCGGTTAGTTTAGAGGTCATGTGAGTTGCTGAGTTCCGAAACACTATTACAGCTCTTAATAGTTTTCAAGCTGCTGGTCAGGATTCCATCACACTCTCACTATTTAAGAATGGTAGTGAGATCCTCAGCAAATCACTGACCTTCCTGTTTTGAACAGGAAGTGACCGTCCCAACTAGCTGGAGTAAAACGATTAGAAGGGGAGTATACAGGAAGAGCAGTCGCACCGACTGTGCTAACCACATGGGTATTAGCCTAACGCTGGTGGTGACAAAAGTACTTGCATCCAATCTCGTTCCTCGCCTCGCTGTGGAACGGGGAACCCCATATTAGGAAGAGCAAGCTGGTCTCCGCCAAGGAGGGTTTATACAGACTACTTATTCGCTCTGTGGCAGGCACTAGGGCAGCGACACACGTACCCTAGACCGATATTGACTGTGTTCCTCGACTCCAAGAGTGCGTTCAACTCAGTCAACCAACCGATTCTGTTCGAAGCGCTTGCGCGAGAAGGTGTCCCATGAAGTATGTGAACATTTTAAGTGCTTTGCACTCGAACACCACGGGCCGCGTCTTGGTCTACATGGATTTGCCGGATTTTTTCCGACAACAAGTGGCGTTCGTCAGAATTGTCAAATTTCCCCATTTTTTAACTTTGTCGCGGATCACTCCATGATGATGCGGAATCTT